GCCTTGAGATAGAAGCAAAGCAGAAAAATACAAGGGAAAAATAAGATATAAAGAGATACCAAGGTCCAGTATCAATCTAATGAGTATAGAATAAAAAAGACAAAAAAATTAAGTTGAGGCCAGGTGCAGTGGCTTGTGCCTGTAATCTTAGCACTCTAGGAGCCTGAGGTGGGTGGACTGCCTGGGCTTGCAGGTTCGAGACCAAGCTGAGCCAGAACAAGACCCCCGTCTCGAAAAGTAGCCAGGCGTTGTGGTAGACACCTGTAATCCCAGCTACTTGGGAGGCTGAGGCAAGAGAATCACTTAAGCCCAAGAGTTTGAGGTTGCTGTGAGCTGCAAAGCCACGGCACTTTACCAAGGGCGACAAAGTGAGACTCTCTCAAAACAAAAGAATTTTTTTTTAAATTCTACCTAAAAAGTAAAATTCCCCTTATCTCACTACTGCTAACATTTGGGTAAACATCTTTCCGGAATCCTGTCTATACACAAAAGAACATGTAGCAGAAAAAAAATTTCCATAAACAAAATTATATACTCTCTGTCCTATAACCTGATTTTTTCACTTACTATTATCTTATAAATATAATTCCGTTATACTGTAAAATATATATATTTCTTTCCTTTCCAGACACATAGCTCCTGATAAGAATATCTTCTGTACACTAATAAAGTGACTGGTGGCAGGGAGCCCCTAGATAGCTTCAGGATGGAGGCTGGTTACATGATTAAAGGTTGGGCCTTTCAGCCCCTCCCAAAGGGAAAGGGACTAAAGCTTAAGCTGATCACCAGTTGCCAAAGATGTGATTATCACATCCATGTGATGTTATAACCTCATGCCTATGTAAGCCTCTGTAAAAACCTAAAAAGACAGGGTTAGGAGAGGATATCTAAACATGTGGGGTAACCCTCCTAGAGGATTGCACCCCAAAGAGGAAGCTCTGCACCCCTTCTTTCATACCTGTCTCAATTCATCTCTTCCATCTGACTATTTATCTGTATTATTTGAAATATCTTTATAATAAGCCCATAAATATAAGTAAAGTATTTCCCTGTTCTGTGAGCTGCTCTAGAAATTAAACCAAACCTAAGGTGGGTCATTTACAGCCTGTCGGTCAGGAGTTTTGGTAACAACCTATTACTTGTAACTGGCATCTGAAGTAAGGGGAAGTCTTAGAGACTAAGCCTTTAATCTGTGAGATCTGTTGTATCTCCAGGACATGAAACTAGCACAGAATTGCTTGGCATGTAGGGAAAAACTCACATCTAACTGAGGTCACACAGGTATTCTGTATTGACTGTTGAGAGAGAATAAGAAAAAGAAAAATAAGCTCTTGGTTTTTCCTACATATTTATAGTTACACACACACACACACACACACACACACACACACACACTTCATTCCAAACAGAGCCATCGTCACTACCTCCAGCAGTCCTACAGCTATAGAAAGTGCCACTCCAGAGGAACGCAAAGGCCTCTTTCCCTGTGGTACAGGCCAAGGGTCACGCTGAAGTTCTCCAAGAAGATCTGTGAGATTCATGTCTATTTTCTGTACTGGCTGTAAGAATCTGAAAAACAAAAGTAAATACAAAGCCATTTATAAATGTTTGTAGGCAAGGGCTTATGAAAAAAATTATTCACTTTCCTAAAAACAGAGAAAAATACTTTGAATAGACAGCAGACCAGTGGTTCCCAATCTTCTGTATGGTGATCAGCTGGAGAGTTTGTCTTTTTTTTGAGACAGAGTCTCACTCTGTCACCATCGATAGAGTGCTGTGGCATTACAGCTCACAGCAACCTCTAACTTGTACTTAAGTGAGTCTCTTGCCTCAGCCTTCCAAGTATCTGGGACTGCAGGCACCTGCCACAACACCCAGCTATGGAAAGTTTGTCTTAACACAGATTTGCTAAGCTCTAGTTCTAAAGTCTGTTTCAGTAGGTCGGGGCTGGGGCCCCAAGAATTTGCATTTCAAACACGGTCCTAGGTTATACTGATGCTGCCGGTCCAGGAACCTCACTTTGAACAACTGCTATATATGAAACATTCAAATCAAGTACTACTTCAGAACTTTATACATGTATTCATTTACTAATCTAGCAAATTTTAAGGTTATTGTAATATATCAGAAGATCCATCAATTCAATTTTTTTTTTTTT